CTAGCTTCAAGGAGGTTGTTCGTGCTGCGGCGCTAAGGTGAGCTGTTCGTGAAGAGGAATCCTACAAGGGAAGATTCTACACGACACCTGCGCACCGAGAGGTAATTGTGAAACAAGGATGATTCGGTAAGCATACCAATGTACTAGGTCCTAAACTGCTTCCGCATAAATCTAAGATTTCCTACAGTAGCAATATTGTTGCAGCGTCAGTATGGCATTGAAGGTCGTCTTAGTAAACACCAAAACATAAGGCATCATTGCATCGTGCAGAGCCATATTGAAGGAGAATGAGTCAAAACAGATGAGTCCATTGCTAGTGCAACCCAATAGCAGGTTGTCAGCAAGAGTAGCCCATCTAGGATGAGAAAGATGACAACTCATTCATGGACCGTGTTATGTTCATGTCGTTTCCCAATAGTTGTCAACAACCCCACCTTGATCAAAACCATGGTACCAATGATTCACAGGGATGCTTTCAAGATGACCATGTACTTGACTAGAGCCAAAAACCCATTCATTGCTAGAGTCTTTGCTTCCCTGCTCATTGGAACAACTTGCATTGGTTTAATACTCTACCCATGCGTTCTATCAATTCATTCAAGGTCTTCTCAAAAGCTCTTACTCAATTTTCCACAAAATAGAGTTCACCTAAAGTCATCCTAGACCTTGTCTCAACATCAAGCAGAAAAAAAGGAATCATTTTGTGTATTAGTTGAACAGGTTTAACAAGGAGGCTACGCAAGTCTGCAACATGGACAAGTGTACACTTGCTTCTTCTTATTGTTGAGGTCCTCCAAGTTTATGGAGGCGAGGTAGATAGAAGAAAGCATTGTGCATTTCATGATGGATATGGCTACACCACAGACTAATATTGTGATATGTGCGATACTATTAATAGGTAATGCAAGGTCTTTGGTTGAAGCAATGTATCATCTGCACTAAAGAACAGACAAATAATGAAAAACGACAATGCATAATAAAAATGGAAGCAAGAGCCGCAATCACAAGAATTTATTAGCGTAAATAACAACAACTAATGTGGAAGAGTATTAATGACTCCAAGCTTAAGAATCATTACTATATGTATTCAATTTTTAGAGGGGAATGCATTTCTTATGTCTTATGCACATATACAAAAAAAAAAAATGAATATGATCCACTGTAAAAGAGAGGGAGAGAAATAAAAAAGTGGATTTTATACATTTTTGTGTGTGCATGAGTTGTCTCATGCAATATGAGAAATTTATTTCCTATTTTTAGAAAGGAAGTCTTTTTCTTTTTTGATTTTTCTTGCACAAGTATAATATTTATTTTAAACAACTAATTAAAAATTTTAAACAAATTAAGATAAGTGATAAAATAACATAGTTTTCACTCAAATTATTTTAATATTATATTGAATTTTTAAATATTGGGATAGGTTATACTTACTACTATTTTTTCTTATCACCTCTTACTCCCGACTTTGTTATCATTGCATCAAAATCAAATCAACGATTACAAAATAACATTAAATAAGAGCCGTTGATTTGATTTTGATCTAACGATAACAAAGTTTGTAGTAAGAAGTAGTAAGAAAAAATGGTAGTAAATATAATTTTTCCAACGATTAATTTTTGCTTAAAAACAATATAATCCAAACATGCAAACTTAGAAAGGTTATATTTATTTCATTTCGTATGAGATAACTAAATTTTCTACACACGCAAAAGATTGGTGGATCCCATTTTTTCTTTTTCTCTCTCCTCTTACTTATAGATCTCACTTATAATTTTGTTTCTACAACATAAGATAATTATTTTATTACAACATAAAAAAATTATTTCCCAACTTAAAAACAAAGAAATGTTTTTGTCACAATTTTTTTGGCATTTCCATGCTGCTACCCGGGAGCCCAAACTCAAAAGCTGAAAAATATTCCTATAATATAAGTGCTTGATCCACTGTGTCAGGCAATTGACCAGATGTATTTAATGGTGAGTAATGATGCATGTGGGTTTCTGCTATGTCCACGCATATGCTTTTGCGGGCTTTTCTTCTTTTAAGTATACAAGGGAATAAAAAGGCCAAGCGAACAGCTTCGTGGGCTTTATTTTTTATAGTCTATCTTCCAGCTCTCTCCTTTGAGAATGACGTTGATATAGTTTTTGTTTTCATTTGGCTTTTAACAATTTTTCTTGGTTGGCTTGGTTTGTGGTTGAATTAGCTTATTTTATGTTAATTTTGTTTAATATTTTGTTTTAAAAAATAAAAAATACTAATATTTTCCTTTGTTTAAACTAATTCATACATAAGTTAAGTGTGTAATTGAATTATTTCTTTAAAAAAAATTGTTGCTTGTTGAGAAATTCTTTTTGAAAAACAACTAACTTTTATTTTTAGTCGTTTTCTCAAAGTTGTACTAACTTTATATTAAAATCTTTGTTATTGAGGGTATTACTCTAAAAATATATAAAAATTTCTTATCGTAGTGTGTGAGGTAGATTTGATTGATTATTCTTGTGGCTAAAAAATTGTAAAAATCTTCCCGGTGATTCATACTAATGTTTTTTTCAAGTTGTAAAGCAGTAATTAAATTAAGGGAAGTATGGTCTACCAAACCAAAAAAAAATAAAATAAAAAAGTATGAATATAACGTTAGAGGATGCAACAAAACTTTCGAGCAAACTAAAAAAAATGTGGGCCCCACTTTAAATATTTTTTTCTCATTCCTAAATAATGGGACCCATAGAATTGGTGTGTATGCAAGATGACTTATATTGCATCCTACAACATTATACTTATATTTCCCTTAAATTAAATACACACTAATCTTAAGCAATTTTATATTATTGTTCTAAATGGTTTCTTCACTGGAAGTTAGAGCTAAGGGTGTAAATAAATCAGATCAGGTCAAGCTTTAGCTTAAATAAGTTAGGTTTGTGTAAATTATTTAAAACTTGACTTATTAGCTTTATATAAGTCAAGTTAAAAGTTTGGCTTGACTTATTTTTTAAAAATATAAGGCTTGGCTTGGCTTGTTAAACCTACTAAGCCTTCAAAAATGACACATTCCACTTTGTAAAACATAGGTTATGATTATTTTATTTTGTTTGTATGTTTAATTTAATGGAATATATTCCTTTTCTATGCGCACAACAACCAAAAATATTAACAAGTGATGGCGAAGGAATTTAAGGTTAAAAAAACATGTGTTTGCCAAATGAAAAGAGGGAATATTGCAAAAAATTAAAAAATTAAAAGATATAATTTTATTAAAAAATAACAATATATTGTTTTATTGAAAAATAATAATATATTAATTTATAAAATAATAAGTTATTATTATAATAAAAACAGAATAAAATATTATTTATTAAAAAATATGAGTCGAGTTTGGAAGCTTGAAGGTCAAACTTGCTAAAATTAACTTATGACCTGATTTCTAAATCAGTCTTTTAACGAGCTCTAGCACATACTATTTTTAAAATAGATAAATGCCAAAAAGTAAAAATAAGCCAACCTATAGGCCTGACAACTAGGGGTGTAGATGGGCTAGGTCGACCTACAAGGGCCTATGGCCTAGTCTATATTAGGTCAGACTTGGCCTATTATAAATAGTAAAATAGAACAGGCCAAGATTTTTAAGAAAACATATTTAAAAAATAGGCCATAGGCTTTTTTGTACATGTCGGGCCTATAAGCCTACAAGCCGGTCTATATCATATTATTTATTTAAAATATAATAAATAAAATTATTATTTTAATAATTTTGAATAATAAAATAATATTATTTTAGTTATTCTTTTAATTGTTGAATGTTTAATAAGCTTAAACAGGCTAACAGGCCTATGCTTTTATTGTTTAAATATAGGTCAGACCAGACTTATAATTTGGGGCCTACACAGACTAATAGGCCACGTCATACCTAATATTTTTTACAATCTATTTAAGTCAAAGTCTAACCTATTTACACCCTAGTGACAACCATATCATTTACATCCTAGTTGGAGCTACGCTCTGTTCAAAACTTTGTATTCCTTCTAGTGAGACCTGTGCCTCGCTAACTTGGCTTACTTATATTCCGTAAATGCCTTGTACATGCACTTGAGCAATGTAGATCCCCAGTCATTATCCGAAATTATTACCACTTCGTCTTCAAGCAGTGGCAGAGGGAGGATCATTTTCCTGTGCTTGAATTTGAATTTGATTTTTTTTACAATGTCTCAGATCATGACTTAAAAATGTAATAGTTAAAAAATATAAATTCTAAACATGCCTTGTTAATTATTGAAAAGTGCAAATATAAAAATAAAAATAAAAATAAAAATGTAAATATTTCTTACTTTTCGATTATACTTATCAGTTTATCTATTAATATTCCATAAAATTTCTTCCACTTTTATTACTACATGATAAATTTTAAAAAAAAACATTATTATATAAATAATTTTCATTTTTTAGTGTTTTATTTCTTTTATTTATATCTTTCTTGACTTTTTACTTTTTATTTGTATAAATGAACACCAAACTCAAATAAGCTTTTACAAAACCCTCAATTATTGCCCAAAACCTTTCCAATTCATACTCAACCCGCTCCCTTTCTTTGATCAAATTTCATTTTTTGACTAGTCAAACCATAATGGAATAGAACCAAAGCAACCATGGACCTAATGATAATTGCTTCAAGTGAACGAGCGAATTATTAATTAAGCATATAAAAAAAAGGGAAATAATACTCGGATGGGGTAAGAGACTAGTATCTTATGTCATAAACACAACGTAGAACTTACTTTTTAAAATAAATAAATAAATAATTGAGTGAGATTCTATGACACGATATACTAGTTACTACAAAATGAGACTAGTATTTCGGTAAAAAAAATGTTGCTATTCAAAAGTTTCAGTTTAGCGTGTTAATCAGGACAAACACCGTTATGAGTTCATGGATCACATAAATAGGCTTGGAAGATAGGAAGCAACATATATTACATGCTTTTTATATTTTAACCTTCACCACACATCCATGATACAATGATACCAAGAATTTCAACTTTCCCAATATATGTTAGCTACAGTCATGTTTTATGATTAACCAAAATGATTCAAAAGCGAAATGACAATATTGCCCTGCTACAGAAGGGAACATCAGCATCAACAATATTGTATCTATATGTAGATTAAACAAAAAGATAGGGAAAATACAGCTCACACCACACAAGGGGGGAAGATGCTGATGCTGATGCCTCCCTATGTATCATACAAAAGAACATAATTTTCAGTGATGCAGTGTGTGATTGGAAGCCGGGACTTTTGGTGGGCACTGATAGCACTTGGCAAATAGTCCGAATGTGTCAACCTGTTTGATGAAGTTTGTCATGCTAGCCCACCCTCCAAATCCAAAGCCCACCACCGTAACCCACACCACCACAAATGCATTGATCACATACATTACTGTCCAATTTGGGATGAAAAAGGGTAATTTCTCTGCAGCATTCTGGAAAAAAAAAAAAAAAAAACAGAAATAATTAATCAAGTAAAGAAAGAGCTTTGAAATTGTTAACTTGTGGTTTGAACTGTTAACAAGACAAAAAAAGTAGTATCAGATCACTATAATAAGTTGCTGACTCATTATGAGCATTTGTTAGGAGTAAGTAACAGGAACAGCAATTTGAGTATTGAGTAGGGTCAGTTAAGAGAGTTAGGTTGGTCATGGCCCAGCTCATCGTTAAAATGTGGACATGTGATTAGCATAGCATCGGTGATAGCATTACCATAGCATATAACTGAATGACAAAGAAATGGCACCAACCTCATCTTGTCTCATAAATTTCCAATTCGAATAATTAATAGAACTAGTGGGACTAGGACCTGTAGTACTGCCAGTGACATAGGAAGTCCCTTCCAAGTTAAATCATGAAGCTGGAATCATATCCTCATACAAATGTACACAATACCACAAAAGAGTTTTAAGTTTTAAGAATCCCTCTAGATGCTTCCTAAGATCTACTCATAAAAAATGGACAATAATGGATTCCCAATGTAGCACTCTTCATTAAAAGCTTTCCTTAAATTAAAAAGGTTTTAGCTTTTAGGTAGGGCACAAAACACGGAACCTAATTACATTTGATGTACTATCATAGGTAGCTACAGGCTGTACATTGAATGTATGAGCAGATTATTAAAACCCATATTGACTTAAACATGCCCCAATAGTGACTATTAGCTTATGGAGAAGATAAATTCAATGTGTACACAGTATAGCCAGTTAAATGAGACACGCATTAGGTAGCCCCGTTGAAATTCACTGTAACATGCCCACATTAATAGTGAATTTATTAGCATATGTAATGAATGGAGAAGGGAAATTCACTGTGTGCACAGTAAAGCCAGCTGAATAAGACATGCAATGAGTAGATTATTAGAAACAAATATAAGAATGGACATTTTACCTGTCGTGCAGAAGCAGACCAGTAAGTGAGCATATGTGCTGAAGCAGGGATAATATAGACGGTGAAGCTAACCAAAAGAGCCCCAACAGCTGAGTTAATGGGACCAAAGAAAGGGAAAATAATAGCCAAAAACCATATTGGTATCACCACAGGTAACCTGGCAAGAGCCCTTAAACATATGCTCTTTGTGTCATGCATTCCTATCACTTTCTCCCACACAAAATACAAAGGCGTACAAGCAAATCCAAATGTGATGAACTGTAATTTACATGGAAATAAAATACATCAGTTTCTAAAACTTTTCCTTTTTTTTTTCTGTCTCTCCCTTTTTCTATTTGTTCAAGTAATTATTATTTATTTAGTAAATTAGCAATATTGAGGGGAGGGAAACAGTATATATGGACCTGGTGAATAAGCATTAAGATGACACCGGCATCACGCCAGCCAGAGCGTGGGAGAAGGGAGAATGCATTGGAATGATCAAGGAGTTGGTCACCAAAGGCCCAGTAGACAGCAGTAGCAGAAGGTAGGGTGAGAGTGAATACATAAAGAGTGGCAAAGAGATAGATATATTTGAACTTCTGAGGTTTCCACATTGCATGCATGATTTCCCTGTAATTTGTTAGTCATGTGGTCCATGTTAGTGTATACTGCAACTTCAACTTAAATCTGCATAAGGACCCATAAACTATACTTTCAAATCAAGTTCCTTCTATTTCTACTAATATGCTCCAAATGGAGAATTTCTTAATAAGGTCAAGAATTGTGCATTTTAGTGCTAAGCACTTATTTATTAAATATTGTTAGAGAATAATGGAAACCATTAAAAATGTCATTACTCAATAACTTAAGTTTTTGGGTTGAATTGGTTATTTACATAGTATCAAAGCTTCAAATGGAGGTCATAAGTTTGATTCTCACCCCTCATGTGTTCTTAACTAAAAGAAAAATTTACCGTTCCTTTTACTCGAGGAAAGTAAACTAGATAACTAGTACGTATCATCATGCGGTAAAATGTCATTATTCCAGTTATATTATTGATGAAAATATAGTACGTAGACAGTGACTTGGGGGATAAGCAAAATCTGACAGTTTCATATTAAATAGATCAAAAGAATAAAGTCCAACTGAGGTTTGAAGTTTTTTATTGCTAAAGACAGAGTATAACCGTAAGCCAAGACACTTGTGTAATGGTTGTTCAAAAGTGTCAGATTTACTGTTTTGTCTTATTTACAAAGTCCCATTAGAATGGAGGCAAAAGCTGCAATTGAAGAAAGTGGCAGTGCAATAAACTTCTCTTACTCTCTTTGATGTTTCATTGTCCCAAGACAATAAAGAAAACTATCATCATTGTATTGTCTAACTTAATAAGAAAAATATTACCAAAGGGACTTACACTGTGACGGCGTGCCCGCCGAAAGTGTAAAGTATATTGGTTGCACCTGTGAAATACAAAACCAATTTGTTTGGGCCCGTGTGAGTCACATTTTCAACCTGCAAAAGAACCAGCCAAGTTCGAATCAAACGACTTCAAAGGAGAATGACCCCAATTGAAAAATAAAGACCATTGTGCTTGGTAATGCTTACCTGGCCATGAACAAGGGCTGCAATGGTCATGTACCAAGCTGTGTAAGTTGTCATTCCAAGGCCAAGGAAAGACCAAATCCTGTAGTTGTGGAATGAGGGTATGAACACTGTGGTGGCACAGCAAGCTCCGAAGATGTAAGTCCAAGTCCTTTTGTCCAAGTGGTCATTTATGTAATAAATGTTACTGCATACCCCAAAACCATAAAAGCCTCTTAAGTCAACAAATCCCACTCACTGTTTTTTTTAATTATCAAATCAAACACACAGGCTATAACCAAAGGAAATGCAAACCTTGCACAAGCTATAAGCTGAATAACAGATCCAAAGAGGAGAAAAGTACAGTTGAAGGCCAATCCAATGGCTTTCCAGTATGGACCAAGTAAACCTTCCAACACTTCGAACCACTGCACAAAAATGAAATTAGACCATGAATCTCATTCATTAAAGATTTTCCACAGAAAAAAAAAAAAAATTGTGGTTTAAAGAAAAGTTTTCTTTTTCATTTGTGGGTCTAACCTGAATGACATGGTTTTTGAAGCTGACATTCTCCTTCTCTTTTCTGCTCCTGTACTCGATGTACAGAATGCTAATCAAATAAGCAGTCCAACTACCAACCAAGCCATAGAAGACTTGAAATATGATGCCTGAAAGAATTCCCAGCTGAGAGAAAGAGTATGGTAAAGTTAACAGAACCTGCGCAACCTGAAAGAGCACAAAACCAAAAACGAATCAAATTCTCTTACACTCACCAAAACAGTGTACAGAATATCAGTTCCAATGATGAGATTGACAATTATGGATTCTCATATCTTATTACCTGATTTGAAGCACAGCTGAACCAGGCATCATAAACAGACCCACCATGCCAGAGAAGACTTTTCAAGCTAGAATGTGAACCACCCTCCTTCTCTTCCTCTCTGTCGTCACGCTCAATCGTCTCATTAAGGCTTGACATCATGGTTTCTTCAGTTTGCTTCTGGGGTAACATTGTTCTGAGATTATAAAGATCTGAAAACCCATGCACAGTATATGAGTTAGACATTTACCAAACCCGGATCAAACTCAAAGAAATTGAAAGGAGAAACAAAAAAAAAAAAAAAGAGATTTTGTTCCGTGTAAGATACCAAACCATGTAGGAAAAAACTTACAAAACTCACCTAATCTTGGTCAATGTTGCTTTGTGGTGAAAGCTGAAAGTTTTCTCTTCTGAATTTATAACAAAGAAACAGAGGAAAGCAGAGACTTTTTTAGTGACAAGTGGAGTGGGTGTGTGTTTGTGTATGTGACTGCCAGCAAATATAAGGAAGCTTTCTTGTAACTCTTACAAAAACAGTGTGCTTATCTCCTTTCCCCTTCTGAAATAAGGCAAAAAGAGAAGATAGTAAGGCCACCTTATTGGGTAACTGTAGCGGTTTTGCTCAGGGAGGTTGATGATTTTGCAGGATTTTGAAGTCTTTATACTCCACCCTCTCTCTCTCTCTCTCTCTATGTCACTGCTCCAATTGCAAGACTTGCAGGGCCTTAAATATGCTTTTGTGCACTATCTGCTGCCATTAAGGTAACTTAGTCAACCTCTTAAATGTGGGTTCTGTATAAGGAATTGGCAGAAGATAGCAGTTTTCAATGCATAAACAATAGCATGGAAACCCAGCTAGCAAGAAACATGAACTGCTTCCTATTAAATAAGGAGGAAAAGGTTCGGTTGGGATGGTAACAAGTGACCAAAAACAAGACCTTGGTTGAGGATCGAGATCTGACAAAAGGTAGTACACCTGAGAGAGCAACCTTGAAGTTGGAGGTGCTTGCAACTTGGCTTGACCCTTAAACAAAAGGAAATTTTTTTGAAAGAAACCAATGGGAAAGGTTGAAATGTGTTTAAACTATCTCTTTGGTGTATGGTTGAGAGGCACAGAGATGTTGCTTTGGCTTGTTTTATAGTGTGCTTGTCCTCTCTCTTTCCTGTTATGTGTTTGTGTTCTGTGCGTTTCTGTTTGGCTGTATAGCCTATTAAGATGGTTGGTGACTGGTGTTTTGTGTACGAGTGTCAGTATACTATCAGTAGAATAATGTTTGAGAAATTATTATTGCTGTTAATGAGGAAAAATTATATCATTCACCTTATTATCTATTTAAGTCAATTTTCCAATTGATCACTCAAATAGCCATATAAGATTTTGAAATCCATCCCTAACAAACATGAAATTCTTAGATTTTATGTGTTTTGTTTATTTTTCTGTTCATGGACTCTATTTGCATCACCTACTTTTGAAGGGAAAAAAAATAAAAATAAAATACTCGCATGAAACCTCCATTTGCGAGTATAGAGATGAGGAAACTCATTTACCAAATCTTACCCTTACATCTGCAAAATACTATTCTCTGAATATCAATCACATTTGACAATATTGAGGTATTTATATATTTTATTCTGAAATTATTCAAATCAAGATTGGAACACCAAAACAGTGCAATTAAGGTTTTTAAGAAAAGAGAAAGAAAGGAAAGAATTTTTAAAAAAAATTAGCAGAAGATAATTAAGCATGTGCTTAGAAATTATCTCATCATCATCTGTAATTAAATTAATATAATGCATGTAAGGAAATTTAAAATTTGAGCCCGATGAATACACCTGGTCTACTTGAGATAATTCGCCCCATGAGTGATATTTATAATGAATAGACAATTGCCTTACAAGATATACTTTTATTTGTAGAGCCTTCAAACTCTAACTTCCTAGAATAATCTTAGAAACAAGATGTATGAAACTTAAATGCCTAAAAAAAAGGAATTATTTATCTCATTTAACATGAGATAAATTCATTTTTCGCATATAGGAGAGAAATATTTTTTATATAAAAGTGAAGAAAGAGAAAAAATATAAATAGGTCCCACCATTTAAAATGTGTGTATAGAAAAATTATTTTATCTCATGTTAAATGAGAAAACAATTCCCCCCCCCCCCCCAAAAAAGCATAAAAGTGAAAAAAAATTCAATACACAAATGGTTCCAACGGACAACAACCAAATTGTCACTGTTTATCTAAAATATTACCAGAATGCCACATTCAAGAATTTTTTTACTGAAGTGCCACATCATCATTATCGTACGCCACATGGCGAGTTAGGATTGGTCACATGGTAACAACTGGTTGACCACGTAACTAGGTGTGCAGTTCAGCTAGATTACGTGGCAGACAGTCCCTGCCACCGTCTGCCACGTGGTCTAAAGCGCTGGGCTACGTGGCCAAAATCGCTGGACTGTTACGTGGCGGCTGTTGAAACACTCAACGCATTTGTGATACGTGTCACACTATGGTAAACCCGCTGGGCTGAGCAGCTGGTTACATGCATGTGTGACATGTGTCATTTAAATGAAATTGAATAACATTAATTTAACACTTCTAAATTTAATTACTTAACATTTACAAATAATTTAGGAGTTTAATATAAGTTATGAGTGTTAATGAATTTAGGAGTTTTTATGTTTGTTAATTAACGTAGTGTAAATTAGTATAAATTAAATTATTTTACAATTATCATTTGATACTTTTTAGGAGTGTTAACTATATTAATTTATGCTAATTGAAATTGTTTGTAACGGTTAAAAAATTTAATATAATTGAGTAGTGTTAAAGAATTAAACTAAATTAAATTAATGGTAATTATTTTAGTTTAATTCATTTTATATTAATTTTAGTTATTTTAGAAAAATTAATTAGTTATTTTTAGGGGTGTTAACTAAGGGTAATATTTTTCTTATGTTGCATAAGAGAAATATTATCTCTTACACTCACATTTTTCAAATGAATCCCATAAGAAATATGGTAAAAAAATTGGGGTTTGATTTTCTCATTTTGTATGAGAATTCATTTCTCATGTTGTGACTCAACTAGTGGTGGATCCCACATTTATTAAAAAAGAAAAGAAAATTTTTGCACGCGAATCGAAGAATCACAGCATGAGAATTTAAATTCTCATGCAACATGAGAAAATGTTTTCCCAAAACAATTACCAATCAAGTTGTCCTATGGTTGAGGCAATTATTATAGCATTCTTATTATTTAAATGGACAATGATTTATTGACATTAATGCAAGATTTAGACACTTGCGCAAGAAATTTATATACTTAAGCTTATGATTTTATATGATGAGACCCCTAAAAATTTAAATACTAAATAAAAAACAATTATCATGTGGATATTATAAATTAATAATTATGTGATGCGTAAATTAATATAAATTTCATAGAAAATTATAAAATAGTTTAAAAATTATAGAAAAAAGTTAATATAAATTTCATAAAAATAATATATATGATCAAAAATATAATAAAGCTTACAAAATGTTCATCCTTCAATAAATTTTTTCAGTGCAAAGTTTCGTGATATTAATAGCATAAAAAACTTATCCTACTCTAATTTTTATTTGCATGCGTAATATATTTTCATAATGTAAGGGAACCTAAAAGATTGAAGAAATGTATATAGGATATTATCAACAAGCGTGTAGTTTAACTAACACTGCCATCAACCTCAATCTTTAAAATTGGAATTTGATGATTTTGAAGGTTTGATTAACAATTTTTTGATTATATCACCTATTCTCTTCCCCTATTCAATTATTACTACTTCAATATTAAAATATTTAATACTTACCATTTATATATAAACTTAATAACATACATGCATATGCAATAGAATCAATTTTTTAGTAATTAAAAATTTAGGTGAGGTTAAATACTGATATCCGATCAGGTCAGGATAGATTTTTTTTTTTTGAAGATTTCTCAGAAGAATTACAAATCACACCAACTAAATCCTCGATCGTATCAACTAAGAGGATTTGAACTCGCACAATAATTTTTTTTTTAAGAACATATAGTTATCACTATGTTTAAGGATTATAGTTTTGAGCAAGTTATGAGATAATAAATAATCCATGCAGGGCGGAGCTATAAAGTTGTAGAATGGGATACTGAATACATATTTATTCATACATACACTGTAAAATTTTTTAAAAATGAGACAGATTTTATCTATTTGATTAACTTAGCTTAAAATTAACCATTGTAATCATAGAAAAAAGAATCTTTTGTTTGAGAATACAAATGCCCCCACCCGTAAGGGTAGTGTTCTCCGAATCCATCTATTATGCCCAGCTATTTTTGAAACAAAAGAAAAATAATAGTTTATATATATATTGCAAGTCAATCGCTTTAAGAGATATGGAAGTACATTTATACATTTCGAATCAGAAAGAGTGATTGTTCACTTGCATTGCATACCTTTTCTTCTTCTTCTTTTTCTTAATATATTCGAGAGTTGCAAGAACTTAGAAAAGGAAGAAGAAATGTAGCATTATATATAAATGGTACTTTTGAATATAATGCGACACACAATTTTAAGAGCTTAAGCCAATGGCAATTAATATACAAATTAAACTAGTTTGTACAAACCTACCATTTAAAGAAAACGTAAAAGTTAAAGAAATTTGTATAGTTGACGTTGGGCGAGCGTTAATCTAACGATACTTTTTCCAACATATTATTGATAGCCTTGAGGGTGTGTTTGGTACAGGAGAAATTTTTTGGTGACCAGGAATCATGATTAATGGGAATTCAGTAGAAATTGAGTTTACTTGGAATCTTACGAAAGATGTGTTTGGTTCGCCAAAATATTACTGGGAATACTGGGTAAAAATTACTGATTCCATATTTGGTTTAGAACGAAATATGACTTGGAATACGAGGTTATTTTACAAAAATACCCCAAACTATTTTTACTTTTGTAATTGATAGATTGGGTCTAGATTTTTATGTGTATTGGGGTATTTTTGTCTCAAAATTTATTGTTGTGCTTTCCCTTTACTTGGTATTCTGATTGGTATTTCGAATTACCATATTATTTTTGGTAATCTGAATAGTGACTTTTCTTTATAAATCAAATTACCGGTAATCCTTGGATATCTGGGAATCGTAATTTATTCCTTCTACCAAACGTGGTAATTACATTTACCAAAGAAGGATTACCGGTAATCCTCTCCAAAAACTTGAACCAAACACCCCCCGAGGAAGAAACGACTTCCGTTCTTCCAGAAATTAATAATATTATGTAAATTTTTTATTATAATTATTGGGTCTGATTTGCTTGAATAATATGCGTTTGTTGAGAATATGATTGCTGGATTTTTTTGAGGTAGCTAATTCATTATTGTAATAATAGTAAATTATTTGATTTTAACTGTTGGAAGCTGTTAGATTAGTGTGAGGTGGGGAGTATTCTTGATGTCTACACTGCTTTTAAAGTATAATTAAAAATAGTGTTGCATTTATATGTTTTTTTTGTCTAATGCACTTATATATATATATATATATTTATATGTCAATGGTGTCACATGCTTACAAATCAGAGTCGTTGATCTTTTTTGATCTAACGGCTCTCAGATGAGGTGTCAAACTTCAAATTTGACACCGGTGTCAAATGATTCTACCTCATATATATATATAGATAGGTTTAGTGAGTGTACAGTGACTGGATGTAAAAATCGGTCAAGTGCACTATGTTCTCCCGCGAGAACACATTTATAATAAAATTTATACTATGTTCTTCCGGGAGAACATTGAAGAACATCATTGTAATATTTATTGCACTAAGTTCTCGCGGAAAAACTTAGTGCACTGGACGGTCCAGTGACTGAATTTTTTATTTTTCCATATATATAACCACATTTGAATATGAAGAGGGATCTCTTGACTAAAATGTAAGATTAAGAATTTCTATTTCACATTTTAGTTGTTGATTTTTGTTCATCTAACAGTTATAGTTTATTAAGTTGTATCAATTAATTAATTATTAATTTCAAATAAGTTATAATC